TACTGCTTCTATCTCTTTGTACTATTTGTAAATTGTAAGTAATTTAATGCATGGAGTTTCATTATCCTAATAAGGTGAAAGAAACATTGGATTCTTGTCATTTAATTTCAATTCGCCTCAATTCTCTGTATCATTTTCACCCTGCGTGTGGCGTACTTTTACTTCGTAGACGTTAAGTAAGTACAACGATAGTCCTCTTCCTGTTCCCGTAAAAAGGAAAGATTTATTGCAACGAGCAGATTTATCGTAACATTCTACGATTACGTCGAAATTTTCTTTCGAAAGATAAAGCGCTCGTAAACCTTCCACGAGGTGCATACGCCACGAGCGTTCGGTGCCACGACATCGCGGGAAAGCGTCCTGGAATTCCTGTATGCGGCGAAGCCGCGACGTTATCGCCCCGCCGCGGCGCTGTAAGCCCTGGGGAAGGAATTATTCCGCTTCGTGAAATGCCGCGATTTAGCCTCGCAAACACGTATGCCGGTCGCGTGTATCGCCGCCGGTAATCGCACGTTAGACACACTCGCGAGTCGGCTAATCCGACATTTTTAACCAATACAAGCCGGTCTCTCTCTTTCTCTCTCTGTTCCCCCTCCCCCCCCCTCTCTCTCTCTCTCTCAGTCGAGTAAAATTATTATTATATTGCACTGCCCTTTAATTGTAAAAGAAACATGAAGCGACATTGCTAGACAATCATATAATAAATATATAATTTATTGAGCAGTTTGCTCGGTAATAATTTACCAATCAAATTACAAGTAATAACTGACGTAATTGCATGATAAGGTAAAATATTATATTTAATATTTTCAAGTAATTTTCTCGTTTCTCTCGCTTTTCGAGCCTTGCAGATATACGACGCGTATATGCATGCAGCAAGTGATTGAAATTGTTGTCAAAGCTGAACGTCACAGTTCTCCCTAAATTTCGTCCACGAGAGAAACGGGGGGGGGAGAAGAGAGAGAGACCCTCTTTAGTTATGTCAATGCTTCGTCGTCGTGATGTCTATGGCGGAAGTGTAAAGAAGATACGGAATAACGTCGACACAGGTCCGAGAAATATAGAGAATATTATGTTTCCATCGGCGAGAGGTGTCGGGCCGATGTGTCGCGTTCTCCGCCAGCGGCAGTGCAATTAACGCCGAAGAAATGGCGTTATCGCGACGGCCGGGCCGTCAGCGCGATTCGCGTGCACGGCGGGACATTTAACGCGCCGTGCCGCGCGTCATCGTTACCCGTTAATTTATAATAAGCGGCCGACAATAAAATCTCGAATAGGTCGCGCGCATACGGTGGGAGCGGTCGGCGGGTTAACCCTTTCTATACGAAGACGCGTAACATGCACACGAAAAAAAGAATAAAGAAACTTAAAAAACAAGAGATTAAGAAACAAGTGATTCTACTCTCTAAATTTTCTAGAGTGGATCTCACTCCAAAAGAGTGAAATCTCACTCCAAAAGAGCGAAAATACTGTCACTCGGCCACTTGAGTGGCAGTATTTTCACTCTTTAGAGTGAAATTTCACTCCAAAAAATTTAGAGAGTAAAATAATTTAAAAAGTTGACTCATTTCCTTATCCCCGCAAGAACACAATAACTCTGGTTTTTTCACAAACTTCAACACGACACGTTCACGCCGCAATCGAAACACAAAATTAATTTGTGACCGAAAGCTGCAGTTGATATGGAAATTATAATGATTGTAATCTCGAAGTATTATAAAATTCATTTCAATATAGCAGTCGCTTACACAACAATCTCTGTACATTTAATAGAATTACGCTAAATTGCAGGAACCATCTTTCCTGATTATCCTTCATGATATCGCCGCAAAGTGCAAAGTATCGATCTTGCGGTATCTGATACCGAACGAGTAAAACTATCGACACTCCATTAAATTTCAGTACCGCGACGTCTCTTTTATTTCCGATATTCACGGCTCGACGTCGGTGGGTTATAGGACCGCCATAAATATATCCGGGATGAACCGAAGGGTTGCTGCGAGTTATTTTCATAGCTGCGGCACGTTACGGTCGTTGGCAATGATACGCGACGAAACGCGCGATTCGAATACGTTCAAAGCCGTCGGGATTTAATCGGAGAGCCATCGGAATCGGTGCCATAAATCGCTAAGAAACTTCTAGGCTACCGAGAAATTCCGAGAAGCGCGTCGCAAACATAATCGTTATTCTGGATTTCGAAGCTTTGACAAAATAAAATCGGATCGAATTCAAAAAAATTTCAAATAAAAATTTGATTTGTTTAAAATTTGTGAGAAAACTAAGTAAAAATTTGATCTTTCAAATTCTGATTTTTTTCACCGCGTTGTAAGCACCTTCCATCCGGCCATCAACGGAAGCGTAGAAACGTCATTCCTCGTACGTCGAGACTTGGAATATATTATACATATTCATATTCCAAGTACCAAGATCATATTTTCACTCACCAACTCGTGAAGAGTCTTGAGATCGTTCGTGACGATCTGCGGCTGCGGTCCGTATATGAGGCAGGGCTCCTCCTCGTACTCGTCATCGCTCTCCTCGTTGCCGGCGCCGTTCGCCGCTTTGTTCTCGGCGGCGATCTCGCGGTCGATCTGCCTCTCCATCTGCACGAGCAACGGCGCGAGCATGCCGAACTTGGCGCCGCGGCGCGCCACCTCCAGCAGGCATAATATTACGTGTCGCTCGTTCTTACGCATTATCAGATCCTCGGTCTCGAAGAGCAGGCATTCGATGATGCCGAGGCTGTTGCGGCACCAATCGATGAAGTTCGAGACGTTGTCGCGGGCGAAGAAGGTGCCGGCCTTGGCGTTCGGCAGGTAGGGCACATCGCCTACCTGGCTCATCGGCAGCGCCAGCGAAGTTATCGAGCGTGTCATCGGCATCTTGCGGGCCTGACGACGGGCCACGTAGTCCGTCGCGTATTTCCGCACGTTGTTCGCATGCTGGAAGCAGAAGAAAAGGTAGCCTTTGCATTATCCGATGTGGTAGAGATATACGACAATTTTGTGGCGAAAACGATAGGAAGATGAATCATGTTTTTTTGCTAATTTTAATAATCTAAGAGAAACGTATAATTGCGATGCTTTTTAATTCTTAAATTTCTCGAAGTAAATTTCTCTCTCTCTCTCTCTCTCTCTCTCTCTCTCTCCTCTCTCTCTCTCTCTCTCTCTCTCTTAGAATCGTTTTAAATTACGGGTATTTTATCTAATATCATAATGTCGTAATTTACCGCGCCCTGGTTTACAATTCATAATACTCGTGACTTAAGTTAAAGTGTGTCACGTGCGCATCAATGTTTCACGATGCCTATAACAAATGTCGATATTTTATTTCTGTCGCCTGGAGTGTATGCGCGTAAAACGCGATATTTCATTTCACGCTATTCAACACTTTCTCATACATATATACGGCGTCTCCTCTTACACCGTGCGCACACACATACACACACATACGTTATTCAGATGCGAGACTTGACGCGGCATCAAAATCCTGGATTTACCGCGAGCATTGAAATGGCAGATGGCATCTGATGACGGTCATCCCCCGAGAAAAAAGGTCTTAATGCAATATCACGTTATTGATTTAGAAGAGTGCGCCGCGTAAAGAGAGATTTGGGATGCGCACGCCCTTGTATATCAAATAGAACGGGGAACGGCGATGATGGACAAGAAAGAATCGCGGTTCGCAAATGAATTAAACAAAAGAGGCATGAAATCTGTAATTTTTCAAAAATTTCTACAAATGTTTAAAATTTTAAATTGTAATTTTGAAAAATATTACAAATTTTACAGTCACGAATCTTTCATTTGTTATTTTTTCAATATAGCGAGATCTAAATAATATCAAAATAAAAGAAAAAAAAGTTAGTAGCTGTAATTAGTAGCTGTAACCGACTCTTCTTTATTTTGCGCCGGCATACTTTGTTTTCCTTGCCTCCAATTTGACTGCGATCAGCACATATATCACTGACGTTAGTATTATTCCATCCCTTTAATCTCTTTCCGTTTGCTCAACGCTCGTTTTCCGCCGAACATCTGCTCAAACGGCCGTGTCAGTTAACTGGGTGCTCGTTTTAATGACAGTTCGTTGAACTTCAACGCTCCTCAAACAGAGTTGACGCGAGATGACTCGTCGGAAGGTATTTGGGTTACGTTGGGAAAAGAAGCGACCACGAAATACGACCTGGTACAGTCGGCCGCTGGAAAGTCCCCTTGTTTAAACAAAATCATATTTCGTCCGCGCAAACATCGCGCCTTGCAGCGTGCGGCCGCTCACGTGCGATGCATCGAGTTTCGATGTCACGTTCAGTTAAACCCCTATTATCAATGATTCTTATTCTTCAGCCGCGAACAGTTTTATAAAATTATTAAATAATTATTGAAAAATGTTAATATTAGCTCAATTATTAATCGATTATTTCACCTATCTTGTAACGCAATATTTGCAGAAAGTTTTTACAGCAATCCTAAATTTTCGTTTCTATGTCGATATTTAAAAAAATTTTTTTATCTTCTTAAAAATACAAATCAGTACAGTAATTCAAAGCTGGTAGAAAGAGAAAGTCTCAAACATTCAAGGGTAAATTGGCTGGATCAAAACTTCTTTCTTATGCCCAACGGTAATCAATTAATTGCGTTGTAAAATTTCCGAGTTGCTGCGGTTAAATCGGTGACTATTACTATTTTTATGCATCTTTAACGCGTGATCAAAGAAATCAAGTTTTCTACGAAAGACCTTCGGTTGAGAGAAGATACACGACGCGCATTTTACGGGCAACGTTTTAGGGATCCCCGTGAAAACGTATTTCACGTCTGCACGTGTGGACGCCATAAGGTCGCGGAGCTGTTTACGCGCGCGCTCCTCGACGCACACTCGTAAAAATCATATCTAACAGCATCCGGTTGTTTCGTCGGCCTGTCTCGATACTTCCCCGAGGGATAATATAGAGATTAGACGAGTCCGCCAACAGGCAGTTACAACCGAATGCGAGCGACGATAATGACAATTCAACGGCCGGACCATTTTGTCGAGGACTCTTAAAACTGATGGCGGGAACGTTCATCAATTAGGGAGATGTACGATCGTACTCGGGATTAAAAGCGGTACGAATGTGTTTTTCTGTATACTTAAGATATAGGATGTGCGCATATCTAAAAAGCGAAAGAGTTAAAATGAGTCGTCTTTTGAAAATTTTGATGACGAAAGAAACCATTAATTCTAAAGTAAGAGAGAAGTCGTTTCTATCTTACATTAATCTATCTGACTTTAATCATCCTTATAATGGCAAGCCGAAAAATTGACAAAAAAAAGAGCAAACAATTTGTGAAAAAATTGATCTCCAAATAAAAGTTGCCCTTGAAGCGACAGTATTCAATTAATATTAAATATATTCAGAAATTTAGAAAAATATTAAATATTTTCATTGGCCTGTTTTGCATTTAAGTTTTTAATATTAAATAATATTGTGATTTTAAAAAAATAGCTTTGTTTACTTTGCATACCGGATATTAGAAAATAATTTTCACTGCTTATCATTAACATATTACGTTTACTGCCTCTCAATTAACATTAGCAATACATTTTTCTTTTAATTGGAGCACTATTTACTCGATCTCAAGCCTTTCGATGATGCGTTGAGCATCACTGGCGAGAGGAAGAGTCGCGCTAAAAGACGAGAAGTGGCGCATATGGTAATACGGTCGGCAGATGAAGCGACGGCAGGATGTCACATTACGTGGCTCCTGACCCCTCTCGGTGTCGTCGCCACGGACCAATATGCCTAATGAAAATGGCCGCTGCAAATTCTACGTTTGTAAATTGGAGCGGTTGCGAGGCGTTTCATTGCGCGCTCGAGGGGGAACGCGCACGAGTTAAGCGTAACGCTGCACGATGCAGTGGAAGGAAACCAATGAGACGTAACCAACGAGAGCGCAAGTAACCATTACTCATAACCCCGTAACTTAATTTAGTCTCCGGGGCCAGGCTTACGCGATAAACCGTTACGGAAATTTATGGCTGTTCGCGGCGCTGCGAAATGAAGCGGCGAACACGTTATCGAAAGCACGCACAGCATGATCTAATTTGATTAAAATTGTTAAATCTACCGCGCTAAACAGACATATCATGTAAACAAAACTGTTGATTATCATGTAAATATAATTATTGTAAAATTGTGCACTATACAAAAATTAATTGTTAATGACTGCAAATCGTTTATGATTATGATTAATTATATATTATATTTCCAAAATTATGGAAACTAATACTTATTTTACTAATATTTATTGAATACGAACGCCAACTCCTCATTCAATTAAAAAATAATTAACAATAATGCCTTCCTATAATGTTTAAAGAGATGTGAAAAAGTCTTTAATAACCGCGTTTACTAATTAAATGTGTGTCATTACGTAATTATACAGAAACTAACGGTTTTTATAAACTCTAGCGAACAATCGCGTTACCGAGAGAATTATACGCGTTGTATACGCAATCGCCACACGTACAATTTAGATTCCTGTGCGAAGTTAATTACTCTTCAGCCGGCCGGTTCTTATAACTGTGACGAAATTCTTTGCTCGGCAAAAGCGCGAAGAGATTCCCCGCTAGGATTGTTCGCGATCCTGTCGTTCCTGAGGCCGCGCCGGAGGTTAATAAACCTCGATCGTTTGTACTCCTAACAGTAAGACCTCGCCCGGCACAAAAGCGTCGTGAATCATTGCGTGTTCTACACGCGGCGCTGTAAAGATGCCTTCCAAAGCGTCGCGTCGCACGCGCGAATAAGTATGTAAAATCGTGCGGACGTGCTTTCGCGAGTCTTTATGTGGCTGCAGCCAACGACACACGTCGCGTATAGTATTGTACTTCCCAGGAAGTGATTCGCATGTCGCCGTTAAGGTCAGAAGTGATAGAGATTGACGTTAAATGTTTCGTAATGAATATTCATGATTTCGTATTAAAAAAAACAGCCTCGGAAAGAAATCAAATATATCTTGCAATTAAATTACATTTATAAAAATAATCTCGATTAATTTACGAACATTTTAACGAACGATAACACGATGTAACAAAAATTATCGGTACTCGCAACAATGGCTGAACAAAGAAATTCCATTGGTATTATTATAGACGAGGCATATCTTCCTCCTTGAGTGATCGCCCTAAATTACCTAATAGACACTTAATGTCAATTAATTAATGACCGATAGCGAGGGAGAAATATCATCTCGACAAATTATCTCGTTGTCGTCATTCACGCGATAATTTAGCAGTTATTCTGAAGGCTGTTAGTTTCATCGAATTATATTGCTTTCGGTATATTTATCATATTAGTATAACTCTAATTATCTTTGAAAAAATATGAAAAATTTCCCTGTATATATAAGCAAAGAATATAATATTTATATATTTAGAAAATATCGCTATATTATTTACATCAGTTTATTTTGCTTTATTGGTCTCTCTCTATCCGTCCCTTGGAAGGAAACGTTCCGCCGCCTATGAAGCTACAGCGAAAAGGTACAATGAACCTTTTGAGACCGCGAGCAGTTACGTGCACGGACGTCGACATTGGCATCAAAATGCGTCGGAGCTATAAAGACGATCTCCGAAGGTCCTAGACCGCCCGTCGCGTCTCACGACTGTCGGCGTCGCCGCGCCGTGGCGCCCGCATGATTTTTCGCCGCGGCTATTTCCGTCCGGTGTTTTTACGACGGCATCCCTTGCACCGCATTTCGGAAGCACAGACGGACGTGCACGCGCGCGCGCGCAAGAGACACGGTATATATTTAGGCACGAGGTTGAAAAAGACCACCCCCGTGCACTCATCTCCGGTTCCGAGGGATTATGAAAAAAAACATCCGGTCGTTGGATTCGCTCTCCCTGAGACAAAAGGAGTCGTCGGCGTGTCTCCGGCAGTTTTCGTTGCTCACGCACGAATGCA